CATCAACCAAGTCAGCGAGCCTGAGCACCCTATCCGTTAGTCGCCTCGTACGACAAGCAACCTATTCTAACCCGGATCTTCACGGGTCGCGTGGCACGACAATTTGACGAAATCCTTTGGCCAGGGGATATAGAAATGAATGTTAGAATTATCTTCCCTTGCAATACGAGTTTCTCGATAAGGCAATACCGTGACACATAACGCCGTGAAAGGAAGAAAAGGACTCACAAAGCCCGACACTATTGACACCATCTGCCTTTACTTATCTGACAGAGTTCGAGTCACTGTTACTAATATTACATATGAGAGGATAAAGCGTATGCATATCGTCAACACAGTTCCAATGGAGAGTTGTAACACAAACCCGACATGGGTCTGTGCGCTGGGGTTAAATAACACTGTTACTAATATTAGATACTGTAGTATGGCTGGCTTGTTTGTAGTTTCAATTTACTGTGTTCTCACCTTGCCCCCGAAGCGTTGAATATCTCCGCCCATTCGTCGGGGTTGTAGAACTCAGCTGTGAATTTTGCTGCAAAGTCAGCATAGGTAAAACCTGGCCTGTAGTTATTCTTCATAAACTCCACAACGTCCGTTCTGTTTTGTCGCCAATACTCCTGGAACCAAGCACCTGCGAAGCTTGGAACAGAGAACACCCCCCAGTGAAGAAAGATGCCAAACTTGGCCTCGTCGTACCAGGCCGGGAGGGGCCTCTGGTCCAGTGACTCCCATGTGGGGTCGTAGCGGGCACCTGCCGCTAGTGTCACAGTCAACAGCGTGCACAACAACACTCCAACCATGTTGCGTCGTCCCGTGTTCACAATGAATCGGGGGCACGGGTGGCCCAGTGGCGATTCGCTGTGCAGAGTTGCGTCCCTTGGACACGCCAGAAACCTATGATTGTGGCTTCGAATCCCGGTTCGCCCCGATTATGTTTCTAGGTTTGTCAGCCTAATACCCGTGCTCGTGGGTTTCACCGAAGTGGTAACCGTCTGAGACCTGAATCACTTCGGGCTTTCCTCTTACATTAAGCTGACACGCCGTGATATAACTGGAATACTGTTAAAAGCGGCGTTAAACCCAACTCACTCACTCACTCACAATGAATCGCGCTGTCAGCAAGAGCGTAATCAACAGATCCATCACGTGACTACTATCACGTAACCGTCTCGCACGAATATCTTAAAACGTCAATCTGTCTGTACGTCAAATAGTGTTGATTCTCAGCGTTGTTTACACAAACAATTTAAATTAAGCTGGGTCAAGCGAGCATGATCGTTCGATCAAACAATTGCATTATCGTAACCACACATGACTACTGTAAAGAGCAGGTGCACAAACCCTACAATTTCCATATAAACGCCAATACCAGCCTTGTAGTTGAACCGTTGTGTTGTATGTTCAGATGGTGTTCAGGGGTTCCTCTAATGAATACAACCTATTAAACGTTAACCCTTTCCTTCCTGTTTCCTTTGTCTGCATACAGAATGTCTTACAACACTGTGGACAACCCAAGGACGTTATTCGACTCCAGAGACGTTGCTTTGTTAATCCTCCTTGATCTGTCTGCCGCGTTGGATACATAGGCCATGCAAGGTTGTTATATGCAGTCTGATATCAGGAATATTCTTTGTATGTCTGGTTTGTCTCTTGCGTGGATATCTCAAGATGTTGGAAATGTTAAATTATCTTCATGCTTAGGCAAAGATTACTTGATATATTTTCACATGATTGGCACTGTCAAATATCATCCGCAAGGTTTTTATGCCATTATACGAATATAAAATCATTACTTGTTCCTGAAAAATATGCATCTGAACTTCAGGATAGAACTTTGAGAAGATCTTTGTGTAAATTACGTATATCATTACATAATTTTAATGTTAATAATCTCAGAAAGAAAACTGTACAAGATAAAGAAAGTAGTTTATGCCGTTATTGTAACGAAGGCTATGTTGAGGATGAGTTTCATGTACTCATTTGTAAATATTATCAGTTTCTTAGAAATAGATACCTCCCTATGATTTCAACTATGTACAAAGATGAACAACTGATGAAAAATTTGTCTGAACAATGCTAATACAATACCATCTCTGTCAATATTCTGAAGTAGTTTTTGAAATTAGACGTTGATATAATATGTAAACTTATTATTATCTACACGTGACTGTACAGTGTTGATAAAAAACAACAACACTTCTGTACTATAGGTCATATGGCCTAAAATATTGAATAACCTTCTGTCTGTCTGTCTGTCTGTCTGTCTGTATATACAGTTTTGAAAATGTATTTATCGTACCTGACAGACAGGTCACAGGTAGGTCATCTAAACAAGGCTATATCAAAAAGTGAGAGTCTCACGTGTGGGGGTCCCTGAAGGGTCTGTGCTGGTGTGTCTTACCAGACACGTCATTAATACGATCGTTTTGTAAAATTTAGGGTCTCATTACATAATTTTAAAGTAAATATGTGTCGTAAATCGAAAGATTTTCATGCTGTTAACAGTGATTATACAAATTGTGACAGAGGTTAAATTGAACCTGAATTCCATGTCTTATTCAAGTGAAACAAGTATTCCAAGTTAAGATCTACATATCTCCCTATTTTGAATAATGACTATAAATCTGAAATGTTAATGATAAATACTATCAACTCACAAAAAAAATATGTTATCTTTTCAGTGCCTACTTATATAAAGCATGTTTTTACTATCAGATTCAAGATGTAATTTCTGTATATGCACGTGACATCATATTGTGAGTTGGTATCAATTGTACTTTAGGCCATAAGGCCATAATACTGAATAAACCTGTCTGTCTGTCTGTCTGTCCGTGGGCCCACCATCACGTGCCTCATCACTTTTAAGTAGCTGATTCACAACTGGTCGATAGATTTTGTCCCCTCTTCGACAATCAGACTGCATCCTTGAACAGGATGGAAAGCTGTCTCAACAATGTCAAATCCTGGATGACTTAATGCTGACAAACATGCTTAAATTAAATGATGAGAAAACAGAGGCAATGGCAATCATTCCGCCTTCAAGACAACAGTAATCTCAGCTAACTCACTTCACAATTGGACAATCCTTGATCCCATTTTCTCCATTTATCCCAAACCTTGGTGTTTTTATTAACTCATCCTCAACTATGGAAACATAAGTACTCTTTCTCAGTAAGACGTCATTTTACCTGAAAAATATTGGATCAATGCATCGCCTGATTTCAAGAGCCTTTCTGCCTACCAATCGCTTCATAACACTGGCCCTGCTCGTTATGTGAGATGTTCTTCCAGTACAAACCTACAAACATAACTAACTTCTCTTGACTGAACAAAACTCAAACTAAAGTCCTTCGGTGCTCGATCCTTTTCTAATGCAGGTGCCTCACTATGGAACTCTTCCCATCAGTCTCTGAAGTGCACGTGGTATTATACGGTGTTTAAATCTGGAGTCGAAACGTACATCTTCAAACAGCTACAACTGAATCAGATCAATCTTATTAATATAAGATCTTAGTTCTTAGAGCTAAACAAAGATCTGAGGACATCCCATTTCAGGTCTCGTCAGAACCTTTCGAAAACCGTGACCGACCAATGAAATGTCTGGAAGTCTGAAAGTAGCTCTCTTGAACTTTATGGCTCTAGTTTCAAACTGACTACTTCCATTGCAAACTATGCTTGGAAAAGTTCTCGATTCAAAATTTCAAAACAGAACAAACGAAAATTCTGAAATGTCAAAAATGGCTGTGATTGTAGGCCGATACTTACTATGGGATATGGAAACTTGTCCGTTTGAAATGTCGACCCCATTGAAGTGAGAGATAGACACTGATTTCAAAGGAATATGTCGTACAGACAATAACTGTTATTTGGAATGTCCCTGTTAACCATTTCGAGGTTGCGTGATCAGAAAACGCGTTCAGACTTTCGCTTTAGCGAACTCGTAAGCGACGCTCTGATTGGTCGGAAGAAAGGCCGTTCCGACGGTACCTGTAATGGGATGTCTTCAGATCTTTGTGTGGCAGTAGCAACCACTAAGATCAGATTTTAATGAGATTGGAATCAGATAGGAATACAATCAGTTGTCCTCGGGCCTGTAGAGAGTGTATGGTCACAGCGGCCCACGGACACATAACAGACAGGTGGCTCGGATTCGTATTGAGTGAGTGAGTATGGTTTTACGCCGCTTTTAGCAATATTCCAGCAATATCACGGCGGGGGACACCAGAAATTGGCTTCACACATTGTACCCATGTCGGGAATCGAACCCGGGTCTTCGGCGTGACGAGCGAACGCTTTAACCACTAGCCTACCCGACCGCCCCTGATTCGTATTGATATATAATTAAACCATAAAAGCCCTGCTTTTTCCTTCTCCCTTTATGTCCTCTGCATGTGTATTTTTTAGTGTCTTACTGTCCTCAGTGACGTGGAATTTAGCATTGTATACATCATGTACTCCAATGTAAACATGAATGAATAGGAATGAACTATACTAAAGGTGAGGTCATATGGGGTTTAACATCGCGTTCAAGATGATTGCACTTTCTAGCGACGTTCATGCATGTGTGTGTGGATGCTTGTACTAGTCCGGGCTGATGTCGAGTTTATGGTGATAGCCCACTGAGATATCATGCCGCAGTTTAACATGAACACATCACTCACACACAGTATACTGACTCCCAGCCGACCAGTCCTTGTTTTAGCCCCTTAATGTCGACCGCCAGGCTTGGTAACAAGTATTCCTATTTTCGTATGACGCGGTCGGGGATCGAACCCCGGACCTTCCTCTCTCATGGCGGATGCTCTACCACGGAGGCGGTCACCTATATTACAGATTTCGGTTATTATACAAAGTGGCAGGACACGATCATTTGTTTTGTCAGTCTACAAAGTATGTTCATTTATGAATGAACAGGTCAACAATTTCAGTACAAGTCCGTCATCTACCAACTCCGCCACCCGGCCAACAGTTCACATGTGAAAATGACTCGACACCGGGAGTTTCTTTAATCCATGGGTTTATTTCATACTGGCAAGAATTATGTCATACAAATGCATCTTCCCAAAAATAAGTCTCTGGAATGATATGGTGAGGATGTTCTTGTTTACGCTGCTTTCCAACAAGTATATTGATGATAAAGTTGCATCAACTTTACATGACAGGAACGTCCAAACTGATGCAGCCGTAAATGTGTTCACCCTTCTTGTGGGGTGTCTACTGAAGTACCTAGGAATGTAATCAAGTTGAATGTGTGTTCATCCCCACGACCAGTAATCGGGTAGAATCTGAGTTCATCCCCACGACCAGTAATCTGGTAGAACCTGAGTTCATCCCCACGACCAGTAATCGGGTAGAACCTGAGTTCATCCCCACGACCAGTAATCAGGTAGAACCAGAGTTCATCCCCACGACCAGTAATCAGGTAGAACCTGAGTTCATCCCCACGACCAGTAATCTGGTAGAACCTGAGTTCATCCCCACGACCAGTAATCGGGTAGAATCTGAGTTCATCCCCACGACCAGTAATCGGGTAGAATCTGAGTTCATCCCCACGACCAGTAATCGGGTAGAACCTGAGTTCATCCCCACGACCAGTAATCGGGTAGAACCTGAGTTCATCCCCACGACCAGTAATCGGGTAGAACCTGAGTTCATCCCCACGACCAGTAATCAGGTAGAACCAGAGTTCATCCCCACGACCAGTAATCAGGTAGAACCTGAGTTCATCCCCACGACCAGTAATCTGGTAGAACCTGAGTTCATCCCCACGACCAGTAATCGGGTAGAACCTGAGTTCATCCCCACGACCTGTAATCGGGTAGAACCTGAGTTCATCCCCACGACCAGTAATCGGGTAGAACCTGAGTTCATCCCCACGACCAGTAATCGGGTAGAACCTGAGTTCATCCCCACGACCAGTAATCAGGTAGAACCTGAGTTCATCCCCACGACCAGTAATCGGGTAGAACCTGAGTTCATCCCCACGACCTGTCAACCCTGGCAGTCTGGGATATGAAGAATTGCAGCACACAATTGGCCCTGCCTGCTTCCTGGAATGTTATACATTATGGGAATATCTGACTGAATAGTTCATATCTAAATGATATTTCTATACATCACATGAAATTTTAACCCCTTGAATTTAAAGTGACACAAGTCTGCATTGTTACATTCATGGAGATTGTCCAATTTTTTTTTTTAAAAAAGAGAAATATTATTTTAAGATACTTATATTTTACATTGTTTCTAAAATAACCAAACATAAGGTTCCCTGAGTTTCACACCACCATACTGAAAAGTTCCTGCGATTACCGTTGTAATCTTAACGGTCTAGACCGCGTGTCCCTATGACAACAATACAACAATCTTAAAATTAGGCCAAGCCTTAGCTCAGATTTTGATAACTTTGTTCCAGTTTGAGACTCTTTGCTCAACAAACGATATGGATCCCATAAAAACATGGTGGACAAATATTTTAAAAATTATTTCAATGCAAAAGCAGTCATTGTGGATTATTCAATAACGTATGTACAAATATAGAAAATACCCCCAAAGAGACCATCTGGCCCCCAAAAAAGATACAGAAGGGATACAAAACATGTTAAAAACATATATCTAACTACAATATCACGACGAGAACCCACCAAATAAAACATATTATGCATATATAATGTATTCTATTGGTTTTTGAGATTATCAAGTCTGAAAACCCAGGCCCACTGGCAAGGCATACGATTAAATGGAATTGCTGGAATCATGACTGTCATTCCTGATGTGGCGCCAGATTTGAAATCAAAGTATCCTGGGTATCCGAGCAACGTCACTGTGGTGGCGGGACCTGGCTGTGGGGCAGCTAGCTCCAGCATATCTCCCCGAGGCCAGCTGAGAGTGATGGCGTACACGGAAATACCAGTTGAAGACTTCTTGGACGTGTACCTATGTGAGAATAAAGGGGCATGAGTGATGGCGGACCAGGGAATACATCCTGGGAGATGAACTACACCTCAGATTCTTAGCTTATTACAAATATCCATTCTGGTGTGAGACAAATAGTTATGAGAGTGCTGTGTTTGTTTGTTTGTTGTTTAACACCGCACTCAGCAATATTCCAGCTTTTTGACGGCGGTGTGTAAATAGTCGAGTCTGGGCCAGACAATCCAGTAATTGACATCATAAGCATCGATCCACGCAAATGGGATACAATGACATGCATCAACCAAGAGAGTCTGATCAGCCGATCCTGTTTGTCGCCTCTTACTACAAGCATAGTCACATTAAACCAAAGGTAGAAAATGATGTGGCTGTGTGAATCTCCAGGTTTCAAGTCAACTGTCAACTATTGTAAAGAGAACTGTACCAATGTTTTTGGATGTTGGCGAGGTGACGTGAAGTGGAGCTTAACGTCGGTTAAAGATTTATCTGAGATACCATGCAGCAGTTTAACATGGATACCCCACTCAAAGACAGTATCATAACAAGAACCATCTTTTAACTTCTTTTTACGCCGTTCGATCCCTGGCCGTGTCATACCAAAAGACATTGATAGATGGTACTTGTTGTTCCCCTGACTGGCGCTTGGCATTAAGGGACCAACAAGAACTGGTTGGCTCGGAGTCAGTATACTGGGTCTGAGGGGGGTATACATGAACTGTGGCATGTCATCTCTGTGGGCAAGCACTATAAAATCGCCATAAGTCCAGACACGTACAAGCAGCCATCACACAGGCACATACACATTGCTATATAGATGCGATAATCTTGAACGCAACGTTAAACCCCATTTCACCTCACCTGATACTTTCAGGCTGCAATTTTTTACTGCTTTTCGTCACATCATGTTTTTCAGGATCTAGTTACATTCTGATGTCACGTCCCCTGTCTGTAATGTACCTACCAGACATCAGGTGCCGCTGTGTCATTCTGAGTGGTCCAGGGTCGTGTCTCATAGATGGCGTCGCCATTAACCTTCAGCCATTGTCCCATCTGAAGCAGCCTCTCAGCAAATATTGGGTTGATCATTCCGCTAGAGGTGGGGCCAGCATTCAGCAGGAAGTTGCCACCGCAGCTGTATTTAACACAGTAGTGAACAACTAAAATACTGGGATTTCAATATGGTTGTACCGCATACTGCTAATATTATCTTGTCTGAGCATGATGAATACGAATTCGGTTAAATTGAACAGGAATTAGAATCCCCAGGAAGTGGTTTTGTTTTGTTTGTTGTTTAACACAGCATTCAGCAATATTCCAGCTATAAGACAACGGTTTGTAAATCATTGAGTCTGGACCAGACAATCCAGTGTTTGACATCATGAGCACCAATATGCGCAATTGGGATACGATGACATCCATCAACGAAGTCAGTGATGATCTCGGTATATTAGCTCCATTCAGGTATGACAACACCCTGCCCCCATTCGCCATTATACTTTTCTTCGGTTCGGTTTGAATGACACCATGCTAAAAATAAGCGTCCAGTCAAATTACACTGCTTTTGGTTCAAACAAGTGGCAGTATCACCAGAACTCATCTTGACGGATTCGTGTGGTTTCAGATTCAACTGGAAAGTGTCGTAGCAAAAGATCTTTCACATCTTCTTTCTCAGGGCACCCCAGGGCCCAAGAAAACAGCTTTACAGAGCTAAAGTTCATATAGAACAGGATTTTAAGTTTCGATAACATGCAAGAAGAGATCCTTCAGGTGAGGCTGCCATTTTGAATGTAGTTCTACGCCGAATTCACTTTAAGAGGCAGCACTTAATTGGTTGTTGGTGTAAAGATAATACACAAGTCTCTGCCCAGTAAGTGAAAAGCGAGACGGAGATGGTAAAATCACTTCTGAAACGAGTGAGTATGTTTTTACGTCACTTTTAGCAATATTCCAGCAATATCATGGCGGGGGACACCAGAAATGGGCTTCACACATTGTACCCATGTGGGGAATTGAACCTGGGCCTTGGCGTGACAAGCGGACGCTTTAACCAGTAGGCTACCCAAAAGTCCCCACTTCAGAACAAAGCTACCATGGTAAAATGGGTCAAGGTTATACATATCATATTAGAATGGAGATAAAGCAGACTTGATCATCGAGGATGAAATACAAATGTTTTGCTTAATTCTTTTCAAACTTATTCCACAGAGGTGCAACTATGAATGACCCTATGGCATTGATGTCCTGAATGGATACCTGCAAGAGTACTAGTATGTTTTCTGTTGATATTAGATATGTGAAGCCCATTTCTGGTGTCCCCTGCCGTGATATTGCTGAAACATTGCTAAAAGCGGCATAAAACTATACTCACTCACTCACTCACTGTTGATATTAGTGACCTACCTGACAACTTGGACAAGCTGAGTAATAAGTGCATGCACTGTGTTGAAGTCACCAATCTTGGCGTCGCGCCGGAAAGCCCATGCGTACTTGTCAATCGTTGTTGCATCCTCGAATTTGTGCTTCTGTACCACACCTGAAGATTCCATATTTACATTAACCATGTGCATAGTCTTTGATAGGCATTTAGAAGTTAGGAGAACATGAATACATGACACTTTTTGATGGATGGCAAGTTCTTTTATTCTTTGTACGACGTTTCAGATCCACTTTCCATTCACCTGAAGGAGCAAGAAGTAGCTCTGAAACGTTGTACAAACTTTAAGAATATAATAAGTTGCTATTCATAAAAAAAGTGTCATGTATTCATGTACATAACAAGTAAGAACAATTGGTGAAACCCACAAGCACAGGTATGGAGATGACAAACCTAGGAACATAATCAAAGGCAACTGGGTATCGAAACCACGATCATAGGTTTCTGGTTCACATAAGGGACACAACTCTGCACAACTCTGCCCCGCTTATTTCGAACAATACAGATAATAACAATATTACTATTTTTAAATCCCCCCGAAACCTACCTGGATTGTACTTGTCATGGCAGGTGTAGTATCCTCCGTGTTTACACATGCATTCATCTCCCCAGCGATCGTTGGTCACCACAGTGTCCTTGATGGGGCTGGGGGAGAAGGAGGGAGTTACTCAGGTATGCAATATGCAACTTTGTCTCAACTGAACTTTTATTTACACTCAGGCCGCTATCAGCTGTATCAAAGGTACAAAATTATTTCAACAACATAATGCTAAACATATACATATAAATATAGAATATATATACAAAAACATCTTTGCTGATCATGCTTGCATATTTATACAGATTTACTAGGGTAGCACTATATGTGCAATTCAAAAAGAGGGAGAGTAACTTGATAGGCTTAAACAATGACATGATCATTTTACAGAATTTGGACAGTTTTCTCAATGTTCCCAATCGTGAATTATTGAAAAGTAAATTCGTTTTATGCATATTTGGTTTGATGTAGTAGAATCCGTGTAAAAAAATGTTTTCTTTCGTTTTCTAAAGATAGACAAACAAACAAATAATGAAATTCATCACCTATGGTCGGATAATTTACAAAGTGGGCATTTCCTTTCAATCAAAGGTATTTTTCTCCATCTCCAAGTTTCAATAGGTAGGTTATGGTTACAAGTTCTTTAAGTAAGACTCACCAAACGTTTTCCAGCAGTATGTTTAAATAATATTCAAAATTTAGGCAATCAATATTTATGATACTATACTATACACAGCATAAATTTTGTTTGCATCGCTCAACTGCAGGTGGTGTGTGTGATCGATAGGTCATGGTCTGGCATCACTGTCAACTAATACCACGAGGCTGCCGGAACATCAGTTTACTCACTGAAGTATACATTTACAATGATTTTGCAACAGCATGCATATCTGTGTCACGTGTATGTAAAATCACAAGACAAACGCTGGCATGTTGATTATTGACAATGGGGACTGTACTCAAGGAAAGGAGTACTTGAGTATTTCATATTTGTTATAATCGGCCGAAATGGGGATCGGATGGACCCCGACTAATCCCGACTGCGTCGTAAAACAAAGTTCGCTCACTTTCACATTCATTCATTCCGTGAATGAGTGAGTGTTTTACGCAACAGTAAGCAATATTCCAGCTATAACACTGCCTGGAAGTAATCAAGCCTTGGTCAGACACGCTGTGGGGCACGATTGCAAGCTATCACACATTGTGACCATCCGATCCTCGGTCCTAGTCTGATAGGTGCAATGACGCGTAAAGAGTAAATAATGAACACCTCCTTAATGACATTCAACAAGCAGACAGTACCTGTCGTTATACAGCCAGGCCAGGAAGTGTGTGGAGTTCCAGTAGGACGATGGGGCCAGCCAGGACCCGTCAGACCATATGAGATCTGGCTTGTACTGATTCACTAACTCATACAACTCAGGCATGGTCTTGAACTGAAATTAGACAGCAACTGTGTCGAATCAAACATACAGGAGAGTGCATTCTTTATTTAAATAATTTTTCCTTTTGCCTCGGCTTTCACTCAAAAAGTATTAGCTGGACATGCCGGGTGTCCTGGAAAATGAGTTGTGAAAGAAGAAAATTGTACGACTGCTCATTTCAGTGAAAGAAGTTAAGTGAAAAGGGGTTTAATGTGGCGTTCAAGATTGTTGACCCCTCTCTCTCTCACTCTCTCTCTCTTGTTTTAGCCCCTTAATGCCAAGCGCCAGGCAGGGTAACAACAAGTACCATCTTTTAACATCTTTCGGTATGACGGGGCAGAGGATCGAAACGGCAACCTAGTGTTTTCCGACGCTCTACCACTCGACCGCTTTCAGAGATAAAATGTGACTGAATACTTTGCTTCTAACAGACATCACTCGTTATAGACATACTTTGGAAATTACATCAATAACAAGCTATATTTCACCAATAATGGCTAAACTGACTATCCCTCCACTCATCTAGACAGTTTGAAAATGTCTGTAAAATGCACACAGATTGTAATGTAGGATTTCCCTTTAAAGAACTATTGCTGCATGTAGTGTGGAGCATTCGTTCATTATTTCACACTTCAGTGATTAGCTACGACATCCTTTGCAATGGACAAGCAGAATATCTTACAAATGTGACCATCGAAAAGTAACAAAGATGGTTGCTAACAATGTTATCAAAGCCCACCTTAACAAAGTCTTGGGTCCTGAATTTGTTCTTCTGATCCTGGAGCCAGTACGGGTTGACAAACTCGAACAGTGAGTGGTAAATACCAAACTTGAGGATTGACTTCTTCCGTATAGAGTTGGCCAGGTCACCTGAAACAAGTGTTTATTGCACCTATCAATACACCTGGAACATCTGTTTTATTGCAGTCAACTAACACATGACCTGGAACACCTGTTTTATTGCAGTCAACAAACAAATCACCTGGAACACCTGTTTTATTGCAGTCAACTAAAAAGTCACCTGGAACACCGGTTTCATTGCAGTCAACTAACAAGTCACCTGGAACACCTGTTTTATTGCAGTCAACTAACAAATCACCTGGAACACCTGTTTTATTGCAGTCAACTAACACATCACCTGGAACACCTGTTTTATTGCAGTCAACAAACACATCACCTAAAATACCTGTTTTATTGCAGTCAACTAACACATCACCAGGAACACCTGTTTCATTGCAGTCAACTAACAAGTCACCTGGAACACCTGTTTTATTGCAGTCAACTAACAAGACACCTAGAACACCTGTTTCATTGCGGTCAACAAACACATCACCTGGAACACCTGTTTCATTGCAGTCAACTAACAAGACACCTGGAACACCTGTTTCATTGCAGTCAACTAACAAATCACCTGGAACACCTGTTTCATTGCAGTCAACAAACACATCACCTGGAACACCTGTTTCATTGCAGTCAACTAACAAGTCACCTGGAACACCTGTTTCATTGCAGTCAACTAACAAGACACCTGGAACACCTGTTTTTTTTAGTGCAGTCAACTAACAAGTCACCTGGAACACCTGTTTCATTGCAGTCAACTAACAGGACACCTGGAACACCTGTTTCATTGCAGTCAACTAACAAGTCACCTGGAACACCTGTTTCATTGCAGTCAACTAACAAGTCACCTGGAACACCTGTTTCATTGCAGTCAACTAACAAGACACCTAGAACACCTGTTTCATTGCAGTCAACTAACACATCACCTGGGACATATGTATGTAATTACAGTCAACTAACACGCATTCAAACACAGCTCTGGTTTTGGTGTGTTTGGGTAGTGAAAGATTGTTTAGACAACAACTTGACAAACACTTATGTAAGGTGAGAGAGATGGGTTGAAGGCCGTATAAATCATGTTTCAGTGACATCCTGCTGGTGAAACCAAATGTCAAGCAGGTCGTAGATGTTTGTCACTTGAGTGAAATACATGAGCAGGGGCATGGTACTGTCAAACCAAGAATCATAGTCGCTACGAATCTCAAATTCCAACCAAAGATCAGTGGATCCTTGTATAACCAAGGGATGCAATACTGCACATACCCACTAAGTCCCTGCGAGGGCCAACATCCATAGAATTCCAGTTGAAGGAGTGTTTGGTATTCCAGTTGCAGAATCCTTCATGGTGCTTTGATGTAAGCACAACATATCTAAAAATATGAAACAAAACAGGCTTATATATGAAGATACTAGTGACATTCGGTGAAGTCCTGTTGTCAGCAAATATGTCAACTCACAAGCTCCATAATTTTATGTCATACACAAGGTCAATAGTAGGCTATTGCGGTCTATAGTAGTCAAAACAAGCCCATCATTTTTTATTGTTTAGAAACGTCTTGTTCGATGGATACTTCACTTGAACGTGTGGACAAGCCATCATGTGAAAATATTTCCTACATGAAGTGCTCACGTGCTGTTGATGGTAATATAGTTGTGTTCATGCGATGACGATAATGTTTCATGAACAACGACAACAAACCTATTTTTGAAACATACTCATGGTGGGCATAACACCACCTTATTGTCTACATGTCTACATTTCTCAAACATGTTAATTTCACGGGTGGGGTGGGGTTGGGGTTCGGTGGGGGTGCTGTGGTTGGGGTAACAGTAAATTTAACATCAGATTTCAATATAACTGCCAGTTGTGATATGTTGTAAAAACGTTACATAATATTAAAACCTGACCGGCTTATCTAGACTTCCCTATTATAAGGACAGAATTACTATACATGAACTTATTCAGTACAGACTTGGAGCAAAGCTACAATCCTTTGAATTGGACACGTTTCCGAGATGTAGATCACATTAGTACCGTGCTGAGGTGAAAGACTTCCATTAGCATATCACACATTGTAATAGTTTCAATGATTTAAATAACATGTACAAAAAAAACCTGATAATTTGGTTTATTTTTCGCAAATAGGCCGTTTTGACGCCCATTGTTTTGACATAGGCCGTTTCAGGCTGGTCCTGGTTATCCGAATTCGTACATGGTCAACATAGTCACAGTGTCGTGGAGAGTCAATACACAAACATGACAAAGGCCTGCAGGAGGAAATAACACTGATACTAATATTGGACCCTGCAGTTTTGTATGGTTGGCTGGTTGGTAGGTTGACTTTACTTCTAGTGCAAGTGAACTCACCTTGCCCCCGAAGCGTTGAATATCTCCGCCCATTCGTCGGGGTTGTAGAACTCAGCTGTGAATTGTGCGGCAAAGTCAGCATAGGTAAAACCCGGTCTGTAGTTTTGCCTCATAAACTCCACAACGTCCGTTCTGTTTTGTCGCCAATACTCCTGAAACCAAGCACCCGCGAAGCTTGGAACAGAGAACACCCCCCAGTGAAGAAAGATGCCAAACTTGGCCTCGTCGTACCAGGCCGGGAGGGGCCTCTGGTCCAGTGACTCCCATGTGGGGTCGTAGCGGGCACCTGCCGCTAGTGTCACAGTCAACAGCGTGCACAACAACAGTCCAGCCATGTTGTACGATCTCATGATCTATTGATGTTGTAGCGTCACCTATTGTATGTATGAATCACATGACTTGAAGCTATATATAAAGTCACGTGTGCGGTGTCGTTTCAGAATGAGCCCTATGTGAAACTAAGCTGGTTCCCGGCTCTCTATGCGCGTAGTATAGTCATCATGTGATATGAAGAGAAGGGACCCAGCTTGGTGAGATTTAGAGAACGTGTGTTGTGCCCTTAAACCTGTCTAAGTCTACAATATTCATTAGTGGGCGTGGCTTGTGTATGCACGTGACACTATCTTCCTCAAAGCTGTTGATGTGTAACGAACGCATCGCTGTCTCGGCTGTTATTGCGCGATACGATGTTTCCCTCACAATCTGCACATCAGGTATATAACATGTAGTTTATGTGTCTTTGAATATTGTGCTGGACTGTATTTGCGAGCCTCGACTTTGGACAGATCGAAAGTTACGTAACTTTCGATCTGTCCGAAGTCGAGGCTCGCAAATACAACTCGCCTCTCTCCGAAACATTCGGTGGTGTACATTAGCCCTGATCGAAACATTGACATGTCTTTGCTATTACTTGCATACCCAACACATTAAAAACCTCTTGTCATCATGCTCCATAATTATACAATACACCTTTCTCTACTTGTTATATGCAAGAGCAAAGCAATCTCTGCGTGTGGCAAAAGTTGGTCAACTACAAGATGCAACTATATTTTTTTTATTTCAGAAACCCTGAAAAGATTCCAGGGAGTAGATTCACATGGTGTCCCAGAAGAAGAGTTATCATGCTTGTGATATAAATATATAAAATAAAATCCAAATGGTCCCTAGAACAATGTTTATTAATCAGACCCATGGCTCAGGCAATTAGCTATATATAGGACTTGCCAAATCATTCTAGACTTGAGTTGGCTCCCTTTCTCCATTTATTCTAATGTATCTGAGAGACAGAGGTTCAGGAATGTGCAATCTTCTTTCTGGATAAAAATAACCATATGACCAGATTCTGAGACACTTTCATCCATTCTGTACTGCTTAACTGTGGTCCTCAATATATAACGAAAATAAAGTAAAAAGTATGAAATACAATTCCATGTATTAAAGTGACACAACTTTTATCTCCAAACAATACATGTATATGATATGATGCCCTATTTGTATAAAAATCTGTTCGGAATTTATTTTTCAAATTCAATATACATCTATGAATTACCATTTGGCAAATAATAAAATAAGATAAAATACATGATCAGTGATGATATTTTCCATTATTCCAGATAATACAAGCTGAGCATCTAATTGGATCTAATTAGACATGAGCTTATGCAGTTTAATGTTACTCAAGATGGAAGATCTGTCGAAAAGTATGAACAACATGAAATTAAAAAAACCCAGGTAAAATAGTTTCTTCTCTAGCAAGACATAACCGCATTGATCATGATCTGACATTTTCATCAGAAATAAAAACAGATTTGTTGGTATTAATCATTGCAGAAGTCTTTACTGGAACTTTCTAAGTCTCAAGTAACTTGAAATGCTTTGACATAAGTTTAGTCCCAGTCAAGACTACTATTTTTTGTAAAGGTGCCATTTTTTCATCTAAGTTGTTATTATAACATTCACTCTCTCTCCCATTTCAGCAAAAATTGGTGGCTTCCTTGGCGCATCAATGGAAACCCTTAAAGCTACAGAAGGTCTAAAGTCTACAATGCTGGGGTGGCCCCTTCCTGGACCCCCAGACAGTCATGGGCTGTTGCATAGGCCCCTCCTGATCCCTTTGACCATGCACAGCCCCATCTAGACTGAAAAATTTCATTCACTCTCTTTCCCATTTCAGACAAAATGGGCGACTTCCTCGGCGTGTCAAGGAGACAGTCAGTGTGCACCTCAGAGGTTCAGCCAGCTTACCAGGTGAGCTTCAAACAGCCCAAGGCATCCTAGGGAACTGGTCAAAAATCAAATCCACCTTCTTTTTCTCTCAGTCTTTTTTTAAAGAGCTTGTGTAGACTTAACTTGAGAGCAGAATATTAATGCTATGGGTCAATATTTATAATTTTAAGAGATTTTTGACTATATTATTACTCATGTCCCCTCGACCAGAAATGGGATAACGCCTATAAACTCGACAAATAATGGAATCTTAAGATTTTGTTTTGTTGGCTACTGATAGTAAATAACATTTCTAACTTGTGAGCAGAATATTAATGCTATGGGTCAATATTTCTAATTTTAAGAGATTTTTGACTATATTATTACTCATGTCCCCTCGACCAGAAATGGGATAACGCCTATAAACTCGACAAATAAAGGAATCTTAAGATTTTGTTTTGTTGGCTACTGATAGTAAATAACATTTCTAACTTGTGAGCAGAATATTAATGCTATGGGTCAATATTTATAATTTTAAGAGATTTTTGACTATATTATTACTCATGTCCCCTCGACCAGAAATGGGATAACGCCTATAAACTCGACAAATAAAGGAATCTTAAGATTTTCTTTTGGCTACTGATAGTAAATAACATTTCCAACTTGTGAGCAGAATATTAATGCTATGGGTCAATATTTATAATTTTAAGAGATTTATTACTATATTATTACTCATGTCCCCTCAACCAGAAATGGGATAACGCCTATAAACTCGACAAATAATGGAATCTTAAGATTTTGTTTTGGCTACTGATAGTAAATAACATTTCAAACTTGTGAGCAGAATTAGTTAGTCACATGATATATTGTTTAATGACAAAATTTATCTAGATCTCAATGGTTACACTACAAGTCACTAATGTTCGAATTTCTTTTCATATGGTTGAATAAAGATATATAACTTAAGTCAACTTCAGTGTATGCATGACCAAATCGTTTAATTCATGTATCTAAATACGTTTTGAAAGTACTGTGGTAAAAAAAATCCCAATCAGACATTTTGTATCTCTTGAGACCTTACAGGTCAGGTAATAGTGGGGTGGGTCCCCGGGTAGTAAATTTGGACTCGTCCCAGCTCTAGAATTTATGTACAATTATTTGAGAGAGATGGTTTGATATTTGTGTATATTGGATGTTGCCATGTAATGACCATTGGAATAATAAAGTGATGCCACATTTCTACTCTGTCTGAGTTCTGCTCATGACAGTAGATCATGAAGACTGCACCAACTCTATGCATGTCTGCCAAGGGAAGCGTTGGAAACTGCTGCTTTCTGCCACAACTCAGAAAGTTGTTGATGTGTAATTTTATATATGCACAGAATGTCTGATGTGTGACATTATGCTGTACATTTTCATATTGTTATGTGTCAGTTTAGTTGCCTAAAAGTAACCCTCATCATCAGTTGGTGTGTCTGTGACCTGTAATAATAATGTCTCACATTTTTACATATTTTGTTTCTTTGGACCATTTTCTGAAACGATTATTTACTGGTAAAGAACATGGACACTTAATACGGACATGGAAGGTAATACAAGTGGTTGTATGAAAGTAACTATTAAACCACTACACAAAGATTAATTACTTGGGGGATTATTCTTCACAGGATTTTTTCAAAATGTTCCTGGGGAGTTGTTTTGGTAAAATGTCCATGCCACAAGACAAACACATTTGTGGTTATGCTTTCCAAGTAGGGGGTATTCATGCATTTATCAAAATTGTATATGCCTTCTTTATTATGGGTACTTGCTTGGTTTAGGCTTTGGTTAAAATTATTAAAGGTTAAGGTCTGTGTTCTGATATTTGCAAAACACATTTTAATTATTGTATGGGGCATGGTTTTCTCTGTAGACATGAAACTATATATGTACATCTTTACAAATACTGCCACATTAAATGTTAGTGCTATATATGTCAATGTTCAAGGTGACATTTGAGGTTATTGGGACACATGGTTGTATTTACTGTATTACTTGTGTAATGCAGAGACTGGGTTATATTTGGACAAAGATGTGATGCTTTGGACTTGAAATACATGGTAGTTTTTTTAAGACATTTTGAGTAAATGGAAATGTTTCTGATTTTGCAAGTATTTTTAAACATTTGCTAGTTACATTGGTTTGCAACCTAGAAACATTTAATTCCCATGAAAATGATGTGTATAATGGTCTTTGTCATATTTATGTAACCTCCAGGTTTATGTTCATTCAATGTTAAGGAGCCAATGGCTATAATTATTCATCTGGCATTTCTTGTGTGTTAGATTATTTTGCTGACTTATTTCAACAGACATAAAAATATATTAGTGTCTACCAAATTAAGCGCTTGAATACCACATATGATTATATTTAACATAATAATCATTTAGTCCACCTTGTTGCAATATGGTTTAGAGCAGGACCCCAGCCATCTATTCTTGTGATAACAGGCGACTAAATAGATCTGGTTGTCAGATTTGGTGACTTTATTGATTGTGTGTCATTGTACCCCGATGGTGTGGATCGTTGCTCATAATAGGAATGACTGATTTGTCTGGTCTGAATTTGCATACAGGTGGCTGGAACATGGCTGAATACAGCATTAAACAAGAGTGAAAAAGTATCAAAAATATATGATCATGGAGTATGCATATGTTGTTGTTAGCTAACAATTTCTTATATGTTTGTTTGTTTGTTTCTTATGTGCCTCAGATTTGTCATCAATAATATACAAAGGTTGTTTTGTATTTTTGTAATAAAACATCTTCAATGAACTTCATTTCTTTTGTCATGTGAAGTGAATACACCAACAACTAACCCCAGGAGGTGATGGATGTCTACAATCTGACTTCTCGGACAATTTCCACCTTGACAAATGTACCTTGAACAGCTTATCTATGTTCAGCTACATACACTTCCTTCTTGTATTAAGTTATCATTGCATGAATGTCACAAACTAAAAGCCAATGTGAAGCTTACATCATCTCTAATTACACAAACATTATTTAGTTCCTACATAGGAGTATCCTCTTCTTTCTTCAGATTTGAACACACAATTAAACAGCAGACAAAATGCATGTATAATCTGATGTCAAGAACATGTTCTATTCATGGTAATACATGTGCTTCACAGTCAATGTATATACCGGTATGTGAGTGTAAAATTAATAATATACACAGATGTTTATAGCAGCATTAAAACCAACTACCTCACTGCTGCCACACTTTACGTTATTTATGTTTTCACGGGATGTCCCAAACACTTACATAAACTAATGATGTCTTTTAAACCAACTGATACATTTGTACTGTTTAACCTGTACAATGGGTAGCCTGTTTAGTGTTAGATTCGCGCACAAGTCCTGAAGGCAAAACTTATTAGTTTTATATAATAATTTCTAGATTATGTAAAGAGTAAGAACATTTTGACGTTGGATTCATCTAGACTTGCCCATAATGAGTATAGAATTACAAGGAGCAAGGCTAGTAGCCTGTATACAATACTTCTAATGCATACCAAAAATGCAAAACTAAATTCCAGTTTATTGATTAAAAAACATTATACTTTATCTGACCCTAACATGAACACCAAAATAAACACCAGTTCCAACTGGTAAGACCTGCAAACAAAACAAAAACGAATTCAATTTAATTTTTATGGATATACAATACTGATATTGATCAATCATCTTGTGTTGTGGCGACACATCCCTTTCTCGTCCTCTTTCAAACTATCTGATGGGGAATGAAAATCACTGACATTTAACCATATTTAATGTAATGAATATGAACATTACTAGCCTGGATTAGAATTTGACATTTTGAATTTAATGTTATACTGGATATTTAGAAAGTTGTCGTGTCCATATTTAGCCCATCCAAAGACACCACAACTGAACACGTTGAAGGAAACAGGGAGTGCACGAGAAGCTATACGGGAGTTATGACATACTGCTAACGAGAAGGAATATTTCCTATTTTAATGCCCAATTCCCAGTATTTATTTTCCATGACACAATGGCAAAGTGGAAGGTGATACTGAGAATAAAACTCGCTTACAAAATACACGAACGTTTTCCAATATTTTGAGATATTTCCTCTTACTTTTGCATAAAATAATGATAGTTTACAGATTGATAAAGAAAGAATGTTTCTTCAGGTTATGCTGTACCGCAAACAATGCAGTCTCACTGCACGCTGTTTGCTGTCATAACTCGGCAGAAGTACGATGCACTTCCGGGTTCAGGTGAGAAGCAGTGCGTACGAAATAAGTGTCACGTGCATACACAAGCCACGCCCAGTCATGAATATTGTAGACTTAAAACCATTGTAGGTTTAAGGGCACAACAAACGTGTGTGTTTGTGTGAGTGTTGTATCCAGTGAGTGATGGAACAATTCTAATTATTTTACCCGCATCTTTGGAAACATAAGTTTGTCTGTTTTTTCAAATAGCAACATTATTTAAGTCCCATTTCTCCTCACCTCGTTATATCTTTTAACAATGCTGTGAAAAAATATGAAAATTACAGTGCTTTTAAATGAAGAACAATGGCTCAACAATTATTTTGTTAATATATATACATATATACTCGAAAGCGTGAGACGTAGGATCAACTATGCACTGGCCCAAACTTAGTTATTTGCAGTAATATAGAAAAACATTAAAAAGTAATATGAAAACATTAAACAAACCTATTCCAATTTTTGATGTGTACATATTTTGTGTGTCCACAATAATTATAATTTCCCAATGAACTTGTAAAAAATAAACAAATATCCCGTTTGGTTCAGTCACTGATTTGTCAGTCCAAATTCGATTATTTACAGGTCATCATATAGCTGGAATATTGCTTAATGAGGCGTTAATAACAAAGAAACACTATAAAGTTGTAGCGGGATCACGAGTGGTACATGTGTTTTTTTGCATCCTGTGTCAGGTTTTATACCCCGAGCTGGAGGCGACTGGTATAAAACCTGTAATGAGGGACGCATCAAACCACATGTGGGGCGGTCGGGTAGTCTAGTGGTTAAAGCGTTCGATCGTCACGCCGAAGACCCGGGTTCGATTCCCGACATTGGTACAATGTGTCAAGCCCATTTCTGGTGTCTCCCGCCGTGATATTGCTGGAATATTGCTAATTTATCTTACGACATTGTAAAACAATGAAAACAAATTTAAAAAATTGATTGAAAACAG